ATTTTTGAGTAATTTTATGGAGATGAGCAAATTTCAAACAAATATGACTCAGTAACACAAATCTCTAGGACATATGAAATCACAATATATCTATAGGCATAATAAATAAATATAAACATGTACCTTTTAATGTCAGGTAAGGGCATTTTACCTGCTGCATATTACTAATTTACATTGGTAAAGAAAGGTAGTTTATTTTTATTAATTTGTTACAAGAATACTTAACATGAGATCTACCCTTTTAACATACTTTTAAATGTACATTATTGTTGACTATAGGTACAGTGTTGCACAGATCTCTAAAGGTTATTCATCTTCTTTGACTAAAACTTTATGCCTGCTGATTAGTAACTCCCCACTTCCTCTCCCTCTAGGTCCTGTTAGCCACCATTCCAAACTTTGATTCTATTTCCTTTCTTCTGCTAACTTTGAGCTTAGTTTGTTCTTGTTTCTCTAGTTCCTAGAGATGTAAAGTTAAATTGTTTATTTGACATTTTTCTTCTTTTTTATTGTAGGCACTTACTGCTATAAACTTACCCTCTCAGTACTGCTTTTGTGTATTCTAAGTTTTGGTATGTGGAGTTTTTGTTTCCATTGTGGTCAGAAAAGATACTTGGTATAATTCCAATCTTCTCAAATTTCTTAAGATTTGTTATGTGGCCTAACGTGATCTATGACAGAGAAAGATCTGTGTGTGTTGGGGGAAGAATGTGTATTCTGTTGCTGTTGGGTGGAATGTTCTGTATGTGTCTGTTAGGTTCATTTGGTGGATAGTGTATTCAAGTCCTGTTTCCATATTGATTTTTTGTCTGGATATTCTGCCCATTACTGAAAGTATGGTATTGAATTCTCCTACTATTATTTTATTTTTATCCATTTCTCTCTTCAATTCTGTTGATGTTTGCTTTATATATTTAATTGCTCTGGTGTTGGGTATACATATATTTATAATTGCTATATCTTTCTGGTGGATTGACCCTTTTCATCATTATAAAATGTCCTTCTTTGTCTCCTGTGACAGTTTTTGACTTAAAGTCTGCTTTTTCTGCTATAAGTATAGCCAAACTTGCTGTCTTTTGGTTACCATTTGCATGGTATATCTTTTTCTATCCCTTTAGTTTCAGCCTATGTGTATCCTTAAATCCAAAGTGAATTTCTTGTAGAAAACATATAATTGGGTCTTGTTTTTATCCATTCAGCCACTCTATGTTCTTTGGAGAGTTTAATCCACTTACATTTAAAGTAACTGTTGATAGCAAGGATTTAATATTGCTATTTTGTTAATTGTTTTCTGTTAGTCTTACTGTTATTTTGTCTGTATTTTCCTCTCTTGCTGTCTTCCTTTGTGTTTTGTTGTTATTTCGTACTTACATGCTTTGATTTCTTTCTCTTTCTTTGAGACAGAATCTGGCTCTGTCACCCTGGTAGAGTGCATCATCATAGCTCACTGCAACCTCAAACTCCTGGGCTCAAGCAGTCTTCCTGCCTCAGCCTCCATAGTAGCTGGGACTACAGGCATGTGCAATGACGCTCAGCTGATTTTTCTACTTTTAGCAGAGACAGGGTTTCGCTCCTGCTCAGGCTGGTCTGAAACGCCTGAGCTCATGCAATCCTCCTACCTCAATCTCCCAGAGTGCTAGGATTACAGGCATGAGCCACCGTACCCGGCCTTTTTCTTATATGTAACTTTATAGGTTTTTTGTGTTTTTTTGTGGTTACCTTGGGAATACATAAAATATCTCATCGTTATAACATTGTATTTTAGGCTGATAACAGCTTAAGTAATTGAAATATATAAACTCTGAACTTTAACTTCTCCCTATACTGGTTATTGTTGTCACAATTTACCTCTTCCATACTGTGTATGTTTTAACATATTTTATATAGTTATTTTTAATACTTTTATCTTTTACATTAGAATTAACAGTGATTTACTATTATCACACTACAGTATTC